GGGAGTGAGGGGCACTGGCAGAGCTGTGGGGGCAGGGCTGGGCTAGCAGGGGCTGCGGGTCGGGAGTGAGGGGCGCTGGCAGAGCTGGGGGGGCAGGGCTAGCAGGGGGCTGTGGGTCAGGAGTGAGGGTCACCAGCCGAGTCCATCACCTTGCTCCGTGCTCCGATTGCTGCCCCGCTGACGCCCGTCTCCTCCCTCCCTTCAGGGCATTTGACTTTCCAGGACTGTTTTGTGACGTCGGGCGTCTGGAACGTGACGGAGCTGGTCCGAGTGTCCCAGAGTGAGTGATGGCTTCAGGGGGCGGCCCTAGATCCCCCTGGGGGTCCTTTCTCCTCCTCGTACGTCTCCAGGGGGTGGGCTAGAGAGGCTGGCACGGGGTGCCCATGACGGGTGCCCGTGGCAGGATATGGAGAAACTGTCCAGCTAGGCAGGCAAATCGTTCTCTGTCTCCGTCTCGCTCCATCGATCTATTTCCCCCCCTGCCCTGTGCCCCTGATCTCACTCAGCTCCCCCTTGGGAAGCGGATCCTAGGGGCGTTGGGAAAGGCCCGGGAGGGGGCAGGAGCCCCCCTGCACGCCCACAGGCTGGCTGGGGAGCTAAGCCAATGGCTGCGGGGGGAGGGGGGTAGGGGAGGGGGGCACTGCAGAGGAGGAGGCTCACACACCCCGGGCCGGGCAAAGGCCTAGGCACCGTTGGCAGAACCAGGGGGGCTGGCGCCGGGGGGCACGGGCCCAGCAGAATGGCAGCTCTCCCAGGAGAGGGGAAAGTTTCCAGCCCCTGCAGTTGGGGAGAAAAGCTCGGAAACGGGACCTGAGCGTAACCGACACTGCCTGAGCCTGCAGAGAGCCTGAGCCCGTTGCCCTGAGGGGGCGGGGCCATGGGGCAGGGGCGGGGTTATGGGTCGTGTCGGGTGATTGCTGTGCCCAGCAGCTGGTCTGTACGGGGCATAGTACCCCTGGCACCAGCTGCGTGCCCGGTGCCCCGCACTGCCCCTCACCCACTGTCTCTCCTCCCGCAGCTCCTGTGGCCACGGCGTCGGGTCCCAACTTCTCCCTGGCGGATCTGGAGAGCCCCAGTTACTACAACATCAACCAGGTGACCCTGGGCCGGCGGTCCATAACGTCACCTCCTTCCACCAGGTACGCTGCGGCCGGGGGGCTCCTCCCTCTGCCCCGGCCGCCCTCGGCCTCTCCCCCTCGTCAGACGGTCCCGCCCTGGGGCCGATGCCCCACTCCCCACCCACTGAGCCAGCCCGTCCTCGCCCTGGGACTGCATCAGAGCCGGCCCCCCTGTTCCCCGCCTCCCCGCCTGTCACCCTGCCCTGCGGCCAATCAGGGCCAGCGCCCCCTAGAGGGGAAAGGCCCTGAGCCTGCCTGTCACCCCGCCCAACCTCTCCCCCTCACTGCCCCCCCCAGCTCCACCAAGCGCCCCAAGTCGCTGGATGACAGCGAGATGGAGAGCCCCGTGGACGAGGTCTTCTACCCCGGGACGGGGCGCTCGCCCGCCGCCGGCAGTAGCCAGTCCAGCGGCTGGCCCAACGACGTGGACGCAGGTACGGGGGGGCGCGCAGATCGGGACAGGGACCAGGGGCGGGGGGACCCCCGGGGGGCTCGCCATGTTGTGCATTCCCCCCAGAACACACCAGCAGGGGTCAACCTGCAAAGATCCCCAGCTCCTCCCCCGTATGGGCCCCCTTGTCACCCCAGGGCTGTGCCCGGAGTGCGGGGGTTGGGCCCCCCCAGATTTCCTGCCCCCCGTGTCTCCATGCGGGGCCCTGGGAAGCCATGGGGCACGGCTGCACTCCAGCCTTTGCAGGGAAGAGCTGGGCCAGGCTGCGTCTGGGGAGCGGGGGGAGAGAGCAGCTGCCCCATGTCAGGATGTGGGGCTGGGGGCTGCGTTGGGGGGAGTCTGGGGTGAGGCCAGGAGCTGGTTGGTCCAAGTCACAGAAGCATCAGAGTCATTTGGCATCTAGGGGCTGGGCTAACAGGGGCTGCGGGGCAGGAGTGAGGGGCACTGGGAGAGGGCAGGGGGGCAGGCCTGGGCTAGCAGGGGGCCAGAGCATCTTGGCTCCTGTAAGGAATTAGTGGCGAGCCCCCAGCGTGTCATTCGGGGGCGGGGGGCAGTGAGTGGTGAGACTGTCTGGGAGCTGCTCTCTGTCCGTCCATCTCTGTCTGTCCGTCTGTCTCTCTCCATTCACCCCCCTCTGTCTCCTCAGCTCCGAACAATTCACTGGTCTGTACAAACAACGAAAACTCCTCTCTCAGGGAGGGCAGTGGGGTCTAGTGGTTAGAGCAGGGGCTGGGCGCCAGGACTCCTGGGTTCTCTCCTAGCTCTGGGAGGGGAGTGGGGTCTAAGGGTTAGAGCAGGGGGGCTGGGAGCCAGGACTCCTGGGTTCTATCCCTAGCTCGGGGAGGGGAGTGGGGTCTAGTGGTTAGAGCAGGGGGCTGGGAGCCAGAACCTGTTGGCTCTGAGACCTTGGTGAGCCTCTTCCCCTGTCTGTGTGAACTGGGCATTGTTATTCTGATTTCCATTCTGTCCGTGCCAGGGTCTCTGATCAGCACTGGGTCTGGCGAGCGTCATTCTGGGCACTGGGAACCCCCCGGTGATAACCCCCATGTCCCGCCAAGTCCTGCCAGTTCCCCAGGTGCCCCCTGCACCGGGCGCTGCAGACACACAGCAGGCAGCAGATGGATCAGATGGGGAAACTGAGGCATAGACAGGCAGCGACTCTGAGTGCCAGGATCCAAATCCAGATCTCCTGGGCCCCAGCCGTGTGGGGGTGGGGACAACCACCTGATAACGTGGGGGTAGGAGCAGCGCTTGTGCCATCCCGGCAGAGGGCAAAGCCTTGGTCTATAATCCCATATAGCCAGCACCCCCTGCTGGGCCCACAGGTTATTACCCTGGGTGCTCCCCGCCCTGAGGGTCAGGGTGCCCCTCGCCAGGCATCACCCCCTCCAGCTCACACTCACAAAGGAGAGACGCTTGCCAACATGGGCACCATGCCAGCCGCAGCATGGGCGAAGGGGGCGGGGTCTGGCGCTGTCGATGCGGGGAGCGCTGGCAGTGCTGGCACAGGGCATGACGGCACCAACCCCAGGAACAAGGCTGCTCTGGGCCATCACAGCTCTGCCGGTGCCCCTCACTCCCGACCCGCAGCCCAAGCCGGACTGTGCCCCATGGCCAGTTTGATAGGGTCCCCCGGAGGCTGCAGCTAGGGCGACCTGATAGCAGGAGGGCGAAATCAGACGGGGGGAGACGCCGGGACAAGACAAAGCCCCGAATCTCAGGATGTCCCTATAAAACCGGGACCTCTGGTCCCTCTAGATGCAGCCAACGCCAGGGCCTGTGCCCCCCCCCCCCAGCAGGTGGTCATGGGGATCTCCCTCCCCCACCAGCCGCCCGGGCACCAGCAGGCCCTGCCTGGCGTGGAGATGAGGATCGTGTGGCGTTCCCCCTCCCCCCGCCACATTGGGTTTGTCCCCGACAAATGGCCCGTTTCGCGGCACAGCTGCGGGGCTGGCGGGGCCTGGCAGCCGTCTGACGGGCACAGGTGTTCACAGCTGGCTGGCAGCTCCTCCGAGATCAGGTGCCAGGCAGCTGGCACAAGAAGGCAGGCTCCCGGTGGAGCCGCTCGCGCTCCCTGGGCCCCGGAGGCCCCCTCGGGCGGGAGAAGAGGAGCAGGGACCGGCTGAGCCCAGGGCGCGGGAGATGGGCGGTGAGCTGTGCCACCCGCTGGCATTACAGCGCTCACTCGTCCACCTCAGCTCTTGGCAGCCCCGGCCTCCGACTCCTGCAGGCGTCCCTGGGTGGGGACAGCTGCAGGGAGAACCTCCCAGCCCACCCCAGCGTCTCCCCCATCCCAGACCCCCCACTGCCAGCAGCCCTGTGCTCACTGCCAGCTCGGGATGGGCTGGTCCCACGCCCCCAAGAGGGGAAAGGTCCTGGGTCCCCCCACAAGCCAGCCAGTCCCCTGCCCTAAGGCCAGATCAGACCTGGCGCCCCCTAGAGGGGAAAGGCCCCGTGTCCCGTTCCCTGACACCTCCCTGCCCCCACCCAGCCCTGGTGGGGTGTCTTCCTCTGTCTTGGGGCTGGGGGGGTCGGGGATGCCCTGACCCTCCCCCCAGCCCCGCTGTGCTCATAGAGACCCCGGGGGCCTCCTGCCAGCAGCACCCATTGCCCAGGGGCTTGAGGGGGACCCCTTCAGTGCTGACTCCTGAGATCGGTGGGAGCTTCCATGCTCAGCCCCCCTGCGAATCCAGCCTCAGGGGGCTGGCGCGTGGACCCCCCCCCCAAATGGAGACACCCCAGAGCCTGGGGAAGCAGGCCATGCCGATCTGGCGAGGGAAGATGGGTGGCAGCGGGGGGGGGGGGGGGGGTTGGGCGCCTGGACTGGCCCGGGCCTGGGGGATCCAAGCGACGACAGCTGGTCAGTGTCGTTACCCGCCGGGCTTGGGGCCGTCCATAAATCTCCAGCTGCTGGAGTCACATGAATGCGGGAAAATTGCGGCTGAAAGACGTGAACATCAGAGTCCGGCCCTGCAGGCGGAGGCCTGAGGCTCAGATCCCAGGAGGCAAATCAGAGCGTCGCGGATCCAGGCTTCCAAACAACGCACGGGCCTTTGTAGCCAAGGGGGGCCCTGAAAGCCGATGGCGGGATCGTGGGGACGCCCAGGGCAAGGGAGACACTGGAGTTAGCTGGGAAAATCCAGGCCCCCGGAGGGGCCTGATGGGCAGGGACCTACAGGGCAGCGAGGGCAGGGCAGCGAGGGCAGGGCAGCGGCTGGGGCCCAGGCCAAGCAGGGGTGACCTAAGCAGGATACTAATCCATCTTTCCGCCTGTTAACCCTGCCCTCTCTCGCTGATTCCTCGCCAGGACCGGCTTCCCTAAAGAAGTCAGGGAAGCTGGATTTCTGCAGCGCCCTCTCCACCCACACCACCTCCCCAAGAATGGCTTTCAGCCACCACCCGCTGCCGGTCCTTGCAGGAGTCAGACCAGGTGAGAACCAAAGCCGCTATCCTGGGGTGGGGGGGGGGACCCTTCCCTCCAAGCCACGGTGGTTCTGGCACCCGATCTCGCTCGCTTTTCCTCTCTCTGTCTCTGTCTCTCCTCTGTCGAGGCAGCTAAAGGGTTAAGGATGCGGGGGAAAGGGCAGATTTTATGCTGCGTTAGGCGATCATCGCCTGAGTAGGGATTATTAGAGTGACTCCAGAGTGACTCCAGAATAGCTGGGATCTTGGAGGAGTTAATCCAGAGTGACTCCAGAATAGCCAGGATTTAGACAGATCTGGATGAGTTGGGATTTTGGTGGAGTGACTCCGGCATTGCTGGGATCAGGAGCTGGCCTGCCGCATGTAGCCAAGGGGGTCCCTTTGTCTCCTGGGGAGCAAGTGGAGCCGTGGTTACTGGTCCCTGCAGGCTAGGATGCCTGGGTCCCAACTGTTGGGGGCCCATGCCAGCACCATAGGGGGCAGGGAGCCTCCAGCGACCAGCGAGCCCGGGACCCCAGCCAGCTGCCTGTGGCCTGGTGCCAGCGAGGTGATGAGGGGACACTCCCAGCAGCCTGTTCCCCATGGAACAGGGGTCGTCCTGCCCCCCTTGGGGGAACTGGTCCATCACCCGGCACTTCTCAGGGCTAGGAAATACTTCTCTTGGATCGGGAGTGAGGGGCACCGGCAGGGCCGGGGGGGGGGCCAGGGCTGGGCTAGCAGGGGCTGCGGGTCGGGAGTGAGGGGCACCGGCAGAGCTGGGGGGGAGCCCAGGGCTGGGCTAGCAGGGGCTGCGGGTCGGGAGTGAGGGGCACTGGCAGGGCGGGGGGGAGCCCAGGGCTGGGCTAGCAGGGGCTGCGGGTCGGGAGTGAGGGGCACCAGCAAGGCTCAGCCCTTCCTGTGGGTTTGCTCGGGGGTTCCTCGGTCTTTGCCGGTGGGACGTCTGCGCAGCTCCTGGGGGGCTCATGCAGGCCCCGCTCGGTGGAGTCTCGGTCATTGGGCCTCTCCGGGGGCAGTGGGGGTGTGACTGGGGTGGGGGCCGTGAAGGGGCAGGGGGTAATTGGGGGAGTGACCAGTGTGGGGGCGGGGGAAGGGGCGGGGATGTGGGGGGGGGGGGGGGGGGGGGGGGGTGTCTGGGGGGCATTTCACTTGAAGGGCCGACCTGACTTGGACTCTAGGACATGGCCCCCCCACGCACTCGGCTGACGTGGCCCCCCCAGGTGGGGTCCCCCAGAGGAGGAAGCCCGGCTGATTGGGAGCCGCAGCGCTGCCCCCCGGTCCCGCGCCCCCTGCCAGTTCCCCGAGCCCTATAGCGGCAAGTGCACCCGAGTGCTGCCCACTGACTGGTCCGTCAGGGCCGGCATCTGGGTGGCGCCCGCTGGCTGGTCCATCGGGGCCGGCATCTGGGTGCCGCCCGCTGGCTGGTCCGTCAGGGCCAGCGCCCGGGTGGTGCCCGCTGGATGGTCCGTCAGGGCCAGCGCCCGGGTGGTGCCCGCTGGATGGTCCGTCGGGGCCAGCGCCCGGGTGGCGCTCGCTGGCTGGTCCGTCGGGGCTGGCGTCTGGGTGGCGCCCGCTGGCTGGTCTGTCAGGGCTGGCGCCCAGGGTCCCAGCCCTTGGGGAGTCTCTCGGAGAGGAGTCGTGGAATGACGCCCCGGCCCTGCCTTCTGGCGGGACCGTGAAAGGGGAGAGAGACCAGGACGTGGGGCTCGGCTCCTCCGCCAGCAGGTGGGGCCTTGAAGCTTGGAGGGCCCAGCGGGTGGGCGAGGGGGGGTAGGGAGTGAGAGGACAGGGCCTGAACTGCTGAGAGGGTGGGGGGGCACACAGCAGCTGTTACCAGCAGACCCCTGACCCCCCCCGCCCCCCTTTCTCTCTCCCCGTCCCAGGAAGCCCCCGGGCAACAGCCTCGGCCCTGCACTTCCCGTCGACTTCCATCATCCAGCAGTCCAGCCCCTACTTCACCCACCCGACCATCCGCTACCACCATCACCACGGCCAGGACTCGCTCAAGGAGTTCGTGCAGTTCGTCTGCTCCGACGGGTCGGGCCAGGGCACAGGGCAGGTGAGCGCCGCCGGCCACGCCCCTCCGGATGCTGCCTCCGGGGGGGGGGGGGGCGCCGGCCCGCGAAACAAGGCCCCCCCACGGCTCCCCTCTCCTCTCCTCTCTCTCTGTCTCTCTCTCTGTCTGTGGGGGGCAGGGGACAGGCAGTGTGATCCCGGTCGGGGCGTCGGGGGGCGATGTAACGCAGGGGCTGCTCTGGGTTGGGATTGTTGGGGCAGCTAAGGGGCCAAGAGGGAACATGGCATGTTAGGGGTGATGGAGCTCCAGGGTGGGGGGGGCCGAGTCGAAGGCGGGGCTCTGGGCCCACCCACGTCCCGTCACAGCCACTGGGACACGCTAGCCTGCAGCATCTAGAAGGTTCCGGAAACCGGCAGCCTAGAACCGGCGTCACTCTGGAACGTGAGGAGTTCTAGAAGATAAAGTGCTAACGGGGTGGGGCCTCTCGGGGCAGGTTCTGGGGGGCGGGGCCTCGCAGGGCAGTTTTTAGGGGGCGGGGCCTCTCAGCATTGTGGAGTTCTACGGGGCGGGGCCTCAGCATCACAGTGTTCTAGGGGGCAGGGCCTCAGAGCAGGGCCTGAGAGCAGACCCTAGGGGGCGGGGTTCTCAGAGCAGGTCCTGGGGGTGGGGCCTCAGAGCAGCTTCTGGGGACGGGGCCTCAGCAGCACGAGGTCTGTCGCGGGCGACTTTCTCCACCCAAAGCCAGACTGCTGGAGTGATACGTTGCCATGGAGACTGCGCCTCAGGCCAGCTCCTGCGGGATGGGGGAACTGTGCTGGGCACAGCCCCAGGGGTCCCCCAGGAGCACGGGACGGGGGCACTCAGTGATCCGTGCCTAGGACACAATCAGCTCCGCCCTCTGGGGGTGGCTGGTGCCCCTCGGGGTGCCTCTGGGACACCCACTCTCGGCCCGCGAATGCCTCCCTCTGGAGGCCATGTGCAGCCCTTGCCCCGGCACCGGCCGCAGAGGGCTCTGAAGCTCTGGAGCGTCGTGCCTACAGGAGACGTCCCGCCACCAATCGCCACTATGGACAGTTGGCTCACGCCACGGCCTGCTCACGCGCCGGGGCAGCGCCGGGGCTGGGAGGGCCGTGCCCATCACAGCGGCTGGCGTTAAATATCTGGAGCCCAGCACAGAGACAGCCTTGAGTCATGCCCCCGGGGAGAAACCAGGGCAGGACGCCGGGCAGAGAAGACGCATCTGGAACACCCTGCTCCTTGGCTCTTCCCTGCCGGTCCCGCTCTGGGCCAGCCTTCGCAGATCACGCTCCTCTCCCCGCCTCCCCCTCCGTCCCTCTCCCGGGCATGCCCAGCACCGGTCCCTGGGCTCCACCACGGACCTGTCCTTTCCAGCCTGGAGCCCCTGAAGACGGAGGGACGGGCCGGCCGGTTCACACCAGGTGGCACTTCCCCGGGTTCTGCGTGGAGGGGAGACGCCATTGCCCACGGCCGGCGAGTGAACGACCAGGCGAGCGACGGCCCGGCCCGTGGCTCATCCATGGAGATCTGGCAGTGGGCAGCAGGTCGAGGGTGCGAAGGGGGCAGAGGGCAGGGCCTAGCCAGGGCGTGGGGGGACAGGCCAGCGATGGACGGACAGACACACTCTTCCCACCCTTTGCTTTTTTTAAAACAAGTCCATTTTTTTTTGGTAAAAAAAGGATTTTTTGGAGGAAAAGCGCCCCCAATAAAACACCGGAACAAAGCAAGCCCCAGCGCCCCGTCCCGGCGCCGCCGGCCGGTACTGCATCTTTACCGTTGCCTTGTCTCGGCTCGCCGTTCACGCATCCTTGTATTTATGTTGTTCGCAGCCTAACGCTAGCGGCCAGGGCAAAGTCACGGGCTCATTTTTGCTGCCGCCGCCCCCACCTGTGGCCAGACCTGTGCCCCTTCCAATGCCTGACACAAAATCCACCAGCACTAACCCAGAGGGCGGAGCGCCGACACCTACATCACCCTGTAAGTGGACGCCCGACAGCGACGACACAACCCCCCAGGCAAACCCACCCCCAGCCTGGTCCTCACGCACGGAGCCACCAGCCAGGCCGCCGGGGAGAGGGGGGAGGGGAAGGGGGAGAAGGGACAGCTGAAGAGGAATGTGAAGCTTAGATACATGGGGGTAGGGATGGGGATGGG